TATCGCCGCCTGTACGCCGGAACCTTAGACCAGCCCTCTCGTGCTGTCACTCTGCCGCCTCTTGCCCTGAGTGAGGACGATCTCCATGCTGCGATTCGTAGTCTCAGAACACATAAGGCCGTGCACAGGAACTTGTCCGTGCCCTCATTCGTCTTACCCAAGACGCTTCGGGGACACCGGCACTCTGGAGATCTGCGTGGTGGGCCTTACTGCCCAAAATCGCCCGGCCCACACTTCCGAAACATCTCAGACCCATTGGTCTGTGTGAGGTCTCGGGGCGCATCGTGGGCAAGGTCCTGCAGGGAAGGCTTCGGCCCTTTGTGGAAGCTTATCTCCGTGACATCCCGCAATGGGCGTACATCCCAGGTAGGGGTACTCTTGATGCGGTTCTTCGGGTGCAGGCTCACTGCCAGGCGGTTCTCGAGGCGTGCAAGCCGGATAGTTGGACGGTCCGTGAGGCTCGGGCTGGTCTTGCACGACCTGCTGGGCAAGCTGGTGGGCTCCAAGTATCGTTGGACTTGAGCGCTGCATTTGATTCCCTTGAGTGGATTCATATAGCCACTGCTCTTGATGACGCCAATGTACCAGAATCTCTGCAGGCCCACGTCATGGAGTGGCACCGGGACGTCAGATATCATCTGGACATACAAGGCGAGCATGTCGAAATTGCTGCCTCTAGGGGTCTCAAGCAAGGATGCCTTGTGGCTCCTTTGGTCTGGGCACTTGTCACGGGTAGGTTCTTGTATCAGTTGGCGCTGGACATGGACCCCCTTTGGGTTGCCGCTGATGTCACGACTTACGCCGACGATTTTCATGCCGGCAGCCTGGTTCGGGATACCAAGGGCCTTGACTTGTTGATGCATCGACTGGGATGCATGCTTGACATCTTGATCCGTTCGGGGCTTCAGGTGAACTCACAGAAATCTGCGGTGCTGCACCGCTTCAAGGGTCATTTCGCCCGGCTGTGGTTGAAAATCAGGACCAGGACCACCAGTGATGGGGATCTTTTTCGCCTGCGCACTCCCGAGGGGAGGCTCTTTGAATTTCCCATTGCCAGCGTGCATACCCATCTTGGGACTCGTATTAGCTATCATGACCCCAGGGTTCAGACTCTTGAACATCGCAAGAAGCTAGCCCAAGTTGAGTGGACCAGGTTGCGGAAGATAGTGTGCTCAAAGCAGGGACTCTTCTTGAAGGACCGAATCCACATCTGGCGCTCCTGCGTGCCTCCCACTCTCGTGTATGGCCTGGCTGCAACAGGCCTCCCCGTAGGAGGACTTCATGACATTCGCACTATGTACATGCGTCAGCTTCGTGCCATTCTTCGTTGCCCTGCTCATCTTAGTCATGCTAGCAACCGTGCCGTCCTGGCGAAGGCGAGTGTTCCGGACATCGGAGCTGTCATCCATCAGGAGATGGTCAGGCTGCAGAGCAACCTCTCTGCTCTTCGTGAGCTGGATTCGGTCCTGGTCACCGATAGTTTGCTCTCCTTTGCGGGCAGGTTACCGGACACTCTTTACCAATCACTTGGTCCCCTCTCTTTGGGTGGAATGGAGGCAGGCCCTCAGTCCGAGGTTTTGTGTCGATGTCGATATTGTGCGCAATGCTTCCCCACGCATGCTCTGTGTCGGTCGCATGAGGCCCGGGCCCATCGTGAGCAAGCTGTGCATACAGCAGGCCCCACCTTCGATCGTTTCCAACATGGCTTAGATGGAATGCCGACTTGTCGACTGTGTCTGCACCCCTTCAGAAAGTGGAGCAACCTTGCCAAACATATCACCGGCCGCCAGTGTCCCGTCCTTACCGGGCATCAGGTGCAGGCCACCACGACACAGCTTGAGAGCATGATCCAGAGCGCTCTGCCCAGAGAACTCACTCTTGACTCTGCGCAGGTCCGGTCTCCCCGCACAGCTGCCCAGCAACTTTCATCTGTGCTTCCTGCGTCCGCTCCACGGATCGTGAATGACACTGCGGTCCCAGTGGCCACATGTCGATTGGATACTCTGCCGCTGGTGCTCAGGCCGGGAGTCCAAGCGGTCGCCGCCAGGTCTCACTGGCACCAGTTGCTTACCAACTCAGAGCTGAAAGAGGAGCTGAGACATCACTGTCCGTTCTGCAGACAATGGTGCATGGATACTGCGGCCATTAAACGCCACATGACGCATCAGCATCCGGATTGGGTTGCTGAGTTCCCTAACATAGTCCACCAGCTTAAGACCTTTAGGAGGACCATGGTTTTCCCCTGTCGGTACTGCTCGCAGGTGCAGACACACGCACTGGCGCACTTGCCTAGTGCTCCAAGTTAGCTGCTTCATTGGCCTTCGGACTCATGGCGGAACCAATGGAGGACCTGGAGATCTCGCAACAGGAGCGTCTTTTCTTCGGCGGGGTCTGCCCCTCACTTCGGTCTCTCACACCCAAGAGGGAGAGAGACGAGACCTATCCGGATCCCAAGAAGGCTCGCCTCGACACCCAGACGGACCGAGCACAGGGCTCAGTGAAGGGAGGAGGGGGATATCTTCAGCCGTTCAAAGGCAAGGGCAAGGGCTACCCGAAGGGACAGGGCAAGGGCTACCGAGACAATCGTCGGAGACAGTCGTGGGGTTGGGAGCAGCCTGCGGCCGGGGATTGGCAGTGGAACTCTTCATGGACGGGAACCTCGGGGAACGACATGCAGGATCTTCTACACAAGTTGACCCGGCTAACAATCAAGCACGAGTACGCCATCAACAGTCTGAAACAAGACACGACGGTCTATCTCTTTGTGCAGCCTGGTCCTCAGGGGTTGCTTCCGATCCTCTTCAACACGTCCGAGAAGTGGAACCAGATACAGCGCGATCATCCGGAGCAGACGGAGGAGTCGCTGCGCATCGTGCTGCTGAAGGCCTTCCTCATAGAACTTGGACAGCGGCTGAGGAACAGCAAGGAGAGCACTGCGGCGCTCCAGGCGGCCAAGGATCTTGGCTGGCTGACAGAGGACGGCCGATGGAAAGCTCTTGTATGGAATCCAGCTACGTCGGCTCTCGAGGAAGCACCCAATGGCAGAACCTGGACGACAGACACGATCATCTCGGAGACGGTCGAACTCAGGAAACTGGTCACATCGGAGACTGTGTTCCGGTTCCAATCCCTTCGGGGCCTGACCAAGGAGCCACAGACTTCGTGGGTTCAGCTGGCATTGGAGATCAGCGTTCGTGGACAGGGCGCCCGGGTTTGGGAACTGGTGCAGTCCTGGATAGGGTGCTCGGCTCTGCATACGCTTGGATGCCGGCTGCGGCGCGAGCGGGGCGGCCTGTCGCAGCAGGCTCGCTCGCTTCTCTGGTGAGTGCCGAGGCAGCATGCAGCGACGAGCTCAGTCTGGGATCCAGTGTGCACCCATCTCTTGATCTTGCCGCTTGGAAAACTGCTGATGGGCCGCCTGGTTTCTCTCAGGCCTTGCAGTGCATGCTTTGGCCAATGCAGTGCGATAAGGAGCGCAGGACTGGTGTCTCTGGTCTTGTCAAGCATCTTTGGCACCGTGTGAACCAAGCGCCGCAAAACGTCTTTAGCCTGCGAGGAGACCTCTTCTGGATGCCAATCATGAAAGCACTCTGTTCGGAACAGGCTCCTTCCATTGCATGGACTTTGCGTTCCCTGCTTACATTGCTGCGCAGCCCTTGCACGACAGGTGTTTGGGGTACACATCTGGCAGCTTCATCCTCAGACTGGATGGTGCGCCCGTTATCAGACGTGATGTTCATCCCTATATGTGCTGTGTCCGGCTCGCGACACCTGCAGGATTGTCTGGATGCCTGGGGAACAAGCGTCGGCAGGCCTTGCGTTGTCACAGCTTCGGAGACGATGTTCCTCCAGCTTGAGCCTCTATGCATATGCGTACAGGGGGATGCCGATGTCGACGAGCCGGCCTCGCGGTTCACGGTGAGGATGGGGGAGACTCTCTGGTTGCCAGGTGTCAAAGATGCGAAGGGCCAAACTGCCTATCAATATGAGATCAGATCCTTGATTCTCGAGCAACCTATTGCATCTGGCCAACCGGCTTTCACTTCTGCTCACTGGCACGCAGACAAAACAGCTGTGCAAACTACGATCCAATGCACACTCAGGGTACCTCAGTCTCTGATACTGGCTCTACGACTTGTTGGCCAGGTGTCCGGCCAAGCTGATTGATGATGAGGATTATATAGATGATAGTATGGCAGCTCACCAAACCACACGTGTTTGGAGGGCAGGTTCCGGCAAGCGTTGCGGCTTAAGGGCACAATGCTGAGCCCCTCGAGGCTCCAGTCCAAAGGGCTGTGCAACTCGCTAGGTGGACGGATCCACTGCGTGCTGAATGAATACTACTACTACTACTACTACTACTACTACTGCTACTACTACTACTACTACTACTACTACGTTGTAGCGGTGGTAGTCGTAGCAGACATGGTAGTGGTTGGAGCACTAGTGCTGCAATGATGTCATCACTGCGCGTACTGATTTTTTGAACAAGGTTTGCTGTTGTTTGAGTCGCTTCACCACCAACCAAGGTGTACCACCTCTCCCTTTCTTGAGACCACCGGCCCACGAGTGAAAAAGATGTTATGCCAAGTCTAAGTCTGGCAAAGTTCCTCAGGGTTCAAAGCTGCTGCATACATGATTGCGACTGCTACTGCTACTGCTACTCCTACAGTCATGAATTGCAGCCAAAAAGCTACGCAAAAAATAACAAGATGGCGATAGATGTAAGAGCAGTAGTAAAGGCCTTAGAAGTAGCACAAATACTAGTAGCAGCCGTTGCAGTAGCAGTCGTAGTAGTAGTTGTCGTAGTAGTAGTAGTAGTAGTAGTAGTAGTAGTAGTAGTGGTAGGTACTGCAACCCCTACCACTACTGCGACAACTACTGCTGGGAATTACCACTTTTTGCAGCCGAATTTTGGGCAGCAGTGTGTGCGAGGCCCTTCGAACGAGAATTTAGACACCTACTGTCGACCTCCTTTTCAAGTTTGCAGACGAACTAAGGGGCGCTTCCGCTCAATTGGGTCGGCCATGACAGACGCGAAGGTGGGACCGTCTGTGCGCATGCAGGGGCTCAAGGTTTCGGCAGTATCCCCTGCAGGATCCTACGGTAGAGGGCTGGTAATGTTCCAGTTCCACTTGTCGCCTTGACTTTAGAATCTTGCTGTTTTTCCTTCGGGTCTTCCTTGGCCCGGCACATGCTTGCAGCAACCTCAATCTGGGCAGCCTCGTCGAGTTTGAATTTAGTCAACCCCGCCTGACAAAGATTGCGGCGCAGCCAGCCCTTCAATGCTACACGGTGGTACGGTCCTGTTGAGCCATTTATGCCTGGGTGAAACCTTGACGTTCTTGATTCTAAACGGCGACATTCTCAAAAACCATGGGGCATTCACCAACACAAGTGCACGTGAAAAGTCGATAAAACTATTCTCACAACTTAATTTTCTGCATCCGGTCCCCCCACTTCGTCCGAGTCAGAGACGTGGGGCACCTAGCCCGGCCCCAGCCGAGCCACTGGCGAGGCCTCAAGGCAGGCCCAGGATGCTTCCACCCGCACCCGGCCGCAATCTCTCCCAGGCCCAGGATAACAAGTCCTTCGCTCTCCAGCGCGTCTTGGGCTATGAAGAGGTGGAAGGCAGTTGTCGGCACTTCGAGGGGGGATTCGCTGCTTCGGTTCATGGTGTCGCGTGTGGCTGGAGAGGTCAGGTCGTTTTGGGCTGGGGATCCAGCACCCGGGAAATCCTCGTGCAATAAAAGCCCACCATCGCAGCCCAGCTGTTGAACCACATCGGCTTCGAAGAGGGTGCGACAGACGATGGGTTGATTGAAAACAATCCTTTTTTCCCAAGCAGCCGGGTTCTCTCGCCGATTTACTGATTCACTGAGCTGTTGTGTTCGAAAAGTTGAGGAGGACTTTAGTACCACCAGGGATGAAGATTCTAGATCTGGAACCACGACCCCAGACATCACCCAGGGCGGTAAATGCTCCTGTCATGTTCGCAGACACAGCCTCAAAGCACAAAGCCAAAGCCCTACAAGGTGAGCCAGTGGAGGTTTTCGCAGACACCACGTGGTTTCGGCAGCGACCCGGAAGCGAGACAGCACCGCTTTGGTTTGGGCATTTCAGGATTGAAGGCCGCAAGGTGCGACGCGCGGGATAGGTTGGCTTCCACGGCATCGGTTCAGGTTTGTGTCGCTGAACCTGACTCTCTTAGATCTGAATCCTGCCCCAGAAGGGTCTACTAGCGGAAATCTTTTGTGTCCATGAACTCCTGGCCTGGCCTCGAACATCGCAAAAGCGCCCAAGTCCTGTGAAAGAAGAGCGCATCCCATCCTGTTTCCCCGCTGGAGCATGTGCTTTGCCATCCTGACCCCTGGCTCTCAAAAGCACCAGTAATCAGTAAGCAGGAAAAAGACAAGCTGAAAGTGCCAGATAATGCTGTGAGAGCGTAAATCTTGACGTCCATTGCTGTGCGGCGTGTAGGGGACCTTGCTGCCAGTGAGGTTTAATCCGATCGACATGAAGAGCTGGTTCCCGGATTTGCCGACAGCACGCGCAGAGGACGCCAGCTTAGCTTCTTTGACAGTTTTGCTGAAACTCTAGAGGTAAAATTGCGAAGGCTTGATTCAATCTGGTTTGAGAGACGTGCAATGTGTCCTGATCATTCCTGATCCATTTCCGCAGGCTGCAGCAACGTTGCGCAGGATTCTGAAGCTGTTGAAATTTGAAGTGGCAGCAATGGAACAGTGCATGTAGGTTAGCAAGAAGCCTGCCAAAATCGGGCTCAGGAGGTGGAGACCCCGCTCCAGCGATGGGCGCGGGGCAAGAAGTGAGCCTCGATGAGGGCAGGCTTATCGGCGGCAGCGTTCCGTCCATTCGGCACGGTTCAAGAGCTTGCTCCTATACTTCAGGCCAGGGGCTTGAAGCCTGGTTCCCGACACAAGAGTGGATGAAGACAGCACCTTATCTCGGAGCGAGATCGGCAAAGGAGTTGTGGAGCACAACGCTCGCAAACTGTAGCTCCTGCTCCCACAACGAGGCGTGACTGTCAAGGGTGATCGCCAGGTTTCACTTGTTTGTCGGATGTCGCAGGATGAATGCGCGTGCACATGCATGCGCAAGAGCAAGAAGTCGACAGTCGGCTATCCGGAAATCGCCAAGCCCGTGATTTCTACACCGCCAGGGAGAAAAAGAAAGGTGCTCGTCGGAGCCCAAGGAAGCACCGGTAATTACGTGCGTTAACTCATGCATTGTCGAAGACCAGTGTTGAGAGAATTTTGCGAGGGCTGTGTTTCGGGGGGGTTGGGGGTGTGGATGCCCGTAGTTTGCGGCATGTCGCGTCTGACGTTCTTTTGCAGGGGTTGGGCATGTGTTGTATTTGTGGGTGAGTCGTGAGGGCGGGAACGTCTTTCTGAGTCTTTCTCTGATGCTGTGTGCTTTTCCATCTTCAACTTCATGCCTTCACTGTGCTAGGCAAGCTGCAAAAAGGGTTGCGGATAGTAATGGAGGTTCGATCTTGCTGGGCGGGTGAGAATGTCCCTGTGTAGTGGAGCCCCGCAGTTTCTGTCGCGAGCTGATTTTCGGGGTTCGGGGTTGTGCCAGTCTGCGAATCACAAGACGGCTAAAGCAGCCCGCGTGCAGAAGTTGGATGGTACGCGGGACACATGAAGATGTGGCGTGCCTAGGTTTGGCGTGTAAAGTTCAGTGTAGAGTCCTGGTGGCTCACAAGGCAAATGTCCGAACATGGGAAGCTCCTCTCTGTAAGGAAGTCAGGACACAGGCATATCTGAGTTTATGTCAGACAACCGTGAGCAGTAAGAGCTGAAGCTGTCAGCGGGAATTTTCGCGAGGCCCAACGAAAAGTGCGTGAATCTTCTTCAGCCACAAAACCAGGGACTAGGGTGACTCGACCAGGGCCCAGGCCGTTCCGACAGCCGGCATCACTCGGACCCGGAACATGATGATGTGCGGGTTAGCAACAGCATCAGAATAGCTGGGTGGATATCATTTTCACATCGTATAAGAATGATATAATAACATTTAAATAGATGGCTGATGACCATTGAAGTGGCTCGAGGGTTTTCCACTGCAGAGTGTAGGAGGGACCGCCTTCTCGCTGCCGTTCGCAACTGGGCACAGCAATGCGATGCCAGCGAATGCACCAGCTGCAGCGATTCGAACGCGGCATGAGTGTCCACAGCCCCCAACCCGTGAAGTGGAGACTTGGCAAGGATGTAGCAGGAACTTCGCAGTTCGTGCTTCCGCAGGATACCGTGCAGGCAAACCTTCACACAGTAATGAAAAGGCACACCTGGAGCAAGACCAAGGAGGCTCCAGCCACCCGGCTCTGCTTGAAGTTGCAGCCACCTCAAGGATCAGTTCTTTGGTGGTGGCTGCAGGCCACGAAATCGCAATCGCTCGGATGATGCAAATGCAGTGGAAGAGGAGCGCCGCATGGAGGCACCAACTACCGACAAGGGTGGCTTCGAGTCCGCGGCTTGCCGTGCGCAGGAGGAGCTGGATTCCATCCGCTATCCAGCGGAGATGTATGGCAATGCCTCGATGCGCATGGTCATGACGGCAACTCCGATTGGTGATGTGCATCTCCTCATCGAGAAGATCCAGGTCGTAAGCTTTGACATTGTAGGAAGTCTTGTCCGCAACAGCGACGCGACCTTCTCCTTCGAGCTTGGGGGCAGCGATGGGCCTGGAACCGTGGACATCTATGTTCAAGGAGACGCGGCTGCACAGATCACATGATATGCCGCATCTGTGAGGCACGCCTTAGAGCGCCAGAGAGACGACGTATGATTGTCAAGTTCTCGGCATCGGTTGGCTTGTTCCGAGATGTGAGTGCCGAAGCCCAAGGAATCAAGTTCAAGGCACCGGACTCTGCACTCCCGGGCATCGCGAAGGCGGCTAGTGCCCCTGGCCTGCAAAGTCTGGACTCAATGTCGGAGTTTTCAAGGTGGGCGCATGACAGTAACAGCAGCTGTCCTTGTTCTCGCCCCTTGCCGCCACGTCAGCCGACAAGCGGCACCGAGGCCGATAGCCTCGAGGAGGGG